AAAAAAAAAAAAAAAAAAAGGGTAACTTTCATTTTACTCGGAAAATGAAAGGCATACGGCAAATTAAATTATATCCGAATTATTTTTATAAGGAGTGACGTAGGTATGATGAGGAGACTGTATTCTTTTTACTTTGGAATTTGTGGTTCAAAAAGGATAATGCTTTGCGGTCATCTATAGAAAGAGGTCCATTGGCCTAAACTTTATGAAACCTCTTAAGGTAGCATTATTTGATCCAACAGTACAGCCTGTTGCGCTTTCTTATTGTCAACCAAACAGTCTGTATATAATAACAAAAATACTACTTTCCTGCATGTTTAATTTTATATACAACCAACAAATTCAAGAATATTAATTCAAGAGTGAATGTTAACATGGTAATTCCATTTGGAGGGAATGAATAACCATAATCGATTTGTCTTTTAAACACTTGTCATGATAAATGAGAACCACATATATATGGTTAAAATTTGTCTATGCGGATGTCTGGATATTATTATCATGCGGATGTTATATATTTTCTACTACTTCTTCTTGTCAAACAAAGTGGGTAGAGTATTTTCCGGTATATTTTATTCTCCGAAAGGAGGTATTTATAATACAAAGTTACAAACCCTAGCAGGATTATACTAGGAAATAAGCTAAAATCATAATTACATAATATATATACAAAAAAAGGAAATAAATAAAATCTTAATATACTAGGAAGTAAATCTCCTAATTACACTAGGATCTCGCTAACACTCCCCCTCAAGTTGGAGTAAAGATGTCGCACATGCCCAACTTGTCAAGCGAGTTGAGGAAGATACTGGAAGAGACAGCTTTTGTAAGGACATTGGCTAACTGATACTTAGAGTTGATGAACGGGAAGGAAACAATCTTCGCATCCAACTTCTCTTTAATGAAATTTCGATCAACCTCCACATGCTTTGTACGATCATGTTGCACCAGGTTATGTGCAATTGCAGCCTTATTGTTACAATATAAATTCATAGGCTTCTGTGGCCCAAAACCAAGATCTCTCAACAATCTCCTCAACCATAGTAACTCACATACGTCGTGAGCCATCCCACGATACTCGGCCTCGGCACTAGATCGAGACACCACTTTTTGTTTCTTACTTCTCCAAGTAACAAGGTTACCACCAACAAACATGAAATACCCAGACATAGAACGCCTATCAGTGGCTGAATCAGCCCAATCAGCATCAGTATACCCTTCCACATCTGTATGACCATTTTTGGAAAACAACAATCCCTTGCCAGGAGTTACTTTTAGATACCTTAGAATACGAGTCACAACCCCCATATGATCTACACTAGGAGAGTGCATAAACTGACTCACCATACTTACAACATATGCAATGTCCGAATGGGTATGAGCTAAATAAATCAATTTCCCCACAAGTCATTGATAACGTTCTTTATCAGTTGGAACTTGATCAGGATATAACCCCAACTTATGATTCTGCTCACTAGGGGTATCAATCGGTTTACAATCCAACATCCCAGTCTCTGCAAGTAAATCCAAAACATACTTCCTTTGGGATAGAAAAATACCATGTTTTGACTTAGCAACTTCAATCCCAAGAAAGTACTTTAAATCACCCAACGATTTCATCTCGAACTCGAAAGCCAGATACTTCTGAAGACTCTGTATTTCTACATGATCATCTCCAGTCACAATCATATCATCAACATAAATAATTAAAACCGTCAATTTACCTTTATGACGCTTTAGAAACAAAGTATGATCAGAGTTACTTTGCACATACCCAAACTTTTTCATGGATGCAGCAAATCTTCCAAACCACGCTCTTGGAGACTGCTTTAATCCATACAATGACTTTCGCAGCCGACATACAACACCCTCCTTAGAGGTCACAAGAATACCGGGAGGAAGATCCATATAAATTTCTTCCTGGAAGTCACCATGTAGAAAAACATTTTTGACATCAAACTGCAATAAGGGCCAATCGTGGTTAGCAGCAAGAGATAAAAGCACACGCACAGTGTTGAGCTTTGCCACTAGGGCAAATGTCTCCAAATAATCAACTTCATATGTCTGAGTATACGCCTTGGATACCAATCTAGCCTTGTAACGATCAATAGAACCATCAGTCTTATGCTTCAAAGTAAACACCCATCTGCATCCAACTGCTTTCTTTTCTTGTGGCAAAGGAACTAAATCTCACGTCTTATTTTTGTTCAAGGCACCCATCTGCATCCAATTGCTTTCCTTCTTGTTTATAATGACATCCGTACAGTAATAATGTCCAAATATCCAAATGAGAGAATGATATGCATAAGTTTTCTTTGTTTGTTTGTTGTTTTGGTGGGAGTCAATGTGAGAGA